TTCTCCTAGTGCAAGGCCAGATTAAATATAGGGAATTTGCTACATAAAAAAGTCTAAGGACAGCCCAGGCCACCTGTCAAAACCCTACTTCAGGACAAAAAAGGCAGGCTGGTGATGTAGTTCAGCTACTACAGCACTTATCTAGCTAGCACACGTGAGCCCTGGGTTCGGTCCCCAGTACTTCATAAAAATGATCTTGGTGGCACACTAATTCCAGCACTCAGCAGATGGAGGGTGAGCACCAGAAATTCCAGGTCATCCTTGCTACGTGTGGACTTGGGGGTCAGCCTGGGATACAAGAGTCTCAAAACAAAACAAAACAAAATAAGATAAATAAATAAACAAAACAGCTGGAGATATACCTGGGTGGTACATCTTCAGAAGCTTGTGGCCTCAAATTCTATTAGCAAATACAGAGACAAAAACATAACTTTTATATTTCAATAAACTATAATTGACCTCTTAGTCAATTAAGCTGTTAAGGACTGTGTGGTACCTGGTGGAGGACAAAACTGAATGGAAAAGACCTGTGGGTAAGAGCACTGACTGCTCTTCCAGAGGACATGGGTTCAATTCCTGGCACCCACATGGCAGCTCACAGCTGTCTGTAAATCTAGTTTTCCAGTTTCAGGGGGCCTGAAACTTCTAGGGGCAAAACAATAATGCTCATTAAAAAGAAAAACAAAAAGACATGATCCCTGCCTGAAGGATTACAGATCAAGAGCTTGTCACATCAAAGTACAGCCTAGGGGCTGGAGAGATGAGGGGCAGTGATTGCTCTTCTAGAGGGCCTGAATTCCATTCCCGTCATCCACAGGATGGCTCATAACCACCTGTAATTCCAGTCCCAAGGAATCCGGAACCTTCTGCTCTCTGAGGGACTACAGGCAAGTAAGTGGTACAGGAAAAACACCCACATACAAAAAATAAATAAATAAATAAATTTTTAAGTGCAACTTAAAAGGGTTATAATCTGGTAATTCATTGACCCGTATCCCAGCAGTCCATTTAAGAATGCTGAGATTGCCGAGCAATGGTGGTGCATGCCTTTAATCCCAGCACTTGGGAGTCAGAGGAAGGTGGATCTCTGAATTTGAGGCGAGCTTGGTCTAAGGAGTTTCATGACAGCCAGGGTTCTGTAGAGAGACCCTGTCTCAAAACAATTTAAAAAAAAAATTAAGCTTGATATGGAGGCACAATGGAAATTTAAATTTCCTCAGCTAAAATTGACTTTTATTGGAGTAGCATTTTGATAGTAAATGAGACAAGTAAACAGACTGATTACACATGATGTGACTGTGTTTTGAAGGTGATTTCTTTTATACCATTTTCTTGAGATGGGGTCTTGCCAGAGATGGCATGGAATTCACTACATAGCTCAAACAGGCCTTGAATTTGAGGCCCTCCTCCTGTCTCTGGCTCCAAACGTTGGGATCACAGCAGAGAAGCACACCATGTTTTGCTTTGTGACAGTCACTTTTCTGTTGTTTGCTTGCTTGTCTATTGACACAGAGTCTCATACAGGCCAGCCTGGCTTCACCTCCAACTCAGTATGGAGCCACGATAAGCCGCCTTTAACTGCTGTCCTGGGCCTCCACTTCTCAAGTACGGGAATTGCAGCCATGTGCCACCGTGCCCACTGTGAAAGATGTATATGTGTATTTATACATATTTAACTCCGATACAGGTTGGGCTCAGACATTCCATGAGCTGGAGTACGGCACTGAATTGAAAGGAGAAAGCTCGGGGCCTGGAGAGACAGCTCCTGCAGCTCTAGCCAGGAAGCCCAAGTTCAACTCTCAGCACCCAGGTCCAGAGGTTCTCAACTGCCAGTAACTGAGGCTTCAGGAAACCCAAGTCCTCTTCAGACCTCCAAGGGCACCCGAACATGCATTTACCGTACACACACAGCACTGAGGAGGCAGGAAGATCTCTATCTGAGGCTAGCCTGGTCTACATAGCAAATTCCAGGGCAGCCCGTGCTGCATATTAAGACACTGTCTCAAGAATAAAAAAAAAAAAGGTCGGAAAGATGCAGCTGTTCCTCCTAAGGTCCTAGAGTTGATTCCTAGCAACACGGAGGCCCACACTCCTGTTACAGGGTTTCAGACTCCCTCTTTTGGCCTCCTGGGGGAACAGACACACACATAAAATAAAAATAAACAATAGAAAGAAGAGGAGAAAGTCCTGGGTGGTGGTAGGACATGCCTTTAATCCCAGCAGTCAGGAGGCAGAGAGCCGGCAAAGACCACCAAGCCTGCAGATCTGAGTTTGATCCCCAGGATCCACATGGTGGAAGGAGAAAACCATTCTCACAGTTGTGTTCTGACTTTTGTGCTACACACATAAACAAAACATTTTTTAAATTTCTCTCTCCACTCTCCTGACAAGTTAAAAAATTAATATAAAGGAAAAATGGGGACTAAAACAATGAGGTCACTGGGAGTGAAATAATAATTTATTTCGGGGTGGGATGTCCCAGCTTTTACTTCTATCTTGCAGTGTCTCAGTGACAGCAAGGTCTTCCTTAGCACTCACCTGAGATACACACACACACACACACACACACTCACACACGCACGCACGCACGCGCGCACACACACACACACACACACACACACACACACACGGAAGCTGGAGACTTCACTAAGATGAGTTTGAGGCAATTAGAAGGGAACACCTTCCACATTCCCTAGCAAGACCAACTTCTAGGAACTCAGCCAGATGTCATGGCTTCCAGGGCCTCACCTGGGCTGTCCTTTTTCCCACTTTCAGAAAATGTGTAAGCACAATCCCCACCCCACCCCCTTCAACTCGTGGGAAATCTCTCAATTGGACTGTAGAGTAGCAGAATTCTAGGAATAGCCAGGCCTCCACGAGACCTCAGAAAGTCCTTCCACGGAAAGCCGCAAATGTTGGCTTTAACACCACTGACCGGAGGCGGAGACAGACCTTAAGGGACCGTCCTGGTGGGTTCTCAAGACCCATTCCCTCCAAATTCACCCTAAGTCTTCCAGTTGTTTCCTCATAAAGCCAAACTTGAGGCGACTGAGCTGTGGTCTCACCAGATAGGAAAAAATAATAAGCGATTCCTCCGTGTAGGAGAGGATTTAGATGCGGTCTGGTCCTATCACCCTGTACCACTTCCCCCGGTCCATGCTGACCCTAATATCCATGCTCTTTTAGGCTTCCATGCACTGCCTTGGGCCTTGGGGCAGGATTCCCATTCTCTGCCTCACCATCTCCCTGGAATTTTCCACTGCAGCTGCCTCCGCTCCCAGACACCCCTCCCTGGGCAAAATTCCCGGCTCCCTCCGCCTCCCCTTCCCTAATCACACCTCATTCCCACCCCCAGCCTTGAGGCCCAGCCCACAGTCCAGCCCACTCCCCACGGTCCGTCCCACGCCTCACAGTAACCCTGGTGGCCCCATTTAGAGAAATAGGAAACTAGGCCCTATAAGAGAGGGTGAAATAGAGGGTCCCAATGTCTTTCCTAAGCGGGAGAGAAAGGACAGTGGAGGGGCTCGTCCCCCTGTAGGGCTGGAGTGGGGGGAGTGGCCCTCCTCACATCCCCTTATAAGGCAGGGCAAGCAGTTAGGATCCTGGATTGGTTGATTCAAATGAGCATTCCACCTGGCAACAGGGTTTCTATTGGTTCTCAGGGAAAATAGGAGGAAGGTGGATGGAGGTTGTTGGTGGCGGTGATTGGAGGGGGGGATGGGAGTGGAGGTGACCGGAGTTGAGGGCGGTTACCAGGGCAACAGGGTAAGAGCCCAGCAGGGTGTCCGAGACCGCAGGCGGGGCTGGGAGGTGGAGTAAGAAGGCAAAAAAAAAAAAAAAAAAAAAAAAAAAGGCGGAGGGAGAGGAAAGAGACCGACCCCGAGGGAGTGAGACGCGAGACTTGGGGGGGGGGGGGAATAAAAAACCAGAACCAGAGAGGATACAGATGGAATATGGTGAGAGGTCGCTAAAGACATCAGTCACTGAAGCCTGAGAAGCGCATTGGAAAGGGGAAATGGAAAAGGTGGACCGAATTCTGCCAGGAAAAACCAGGGTGGGGCTCCCCGATTTATGAGACCAAGACGGAGAAACTGAATAAAGAGTCAGAGAAATCAGGAGGTGTGTACAAGGGACTAAAAGAAGATAGTGTGTGCGTTGACTCGCGCACATGCTAAATGATGGTGGAGATCAACAATGGCTATTTTCTTTTCTTTATTTTTTATTTTATTTTTTTGAGGATGACAGGATGTCTCACTGTGTTGCCCAGGTTGCTTTCAAACTAATGGCAATCCTCCTGCCTCAGCCTCCCAAGTGCTGGAATAGGTCATCTGGTTAAAAATGTCTTTATTAAGAACATAAAAATAACTTGGAAAATGTGAAGAGTAATGATAATGACAAATACGAACATGTACACACACACATATACCAATCTTTCCCAGAACCCAGCCCTCTATTGCAACCACATTCCTAACCTCAAATCCACATCCCAGCCCCTGTCCCTTCTGAAATCCCAGGTTCTCAAAATGAGCGACAGATGCTGAACCTGAGGGGTGAGGAGCTGAAGATGGGTGCAATAGGGTGTGGCCGGAACTCCAGGTGTTTGCAAAGAAGGCCATGAGAATACAGAAAGGCCGAGGAGGGAGGATGGCAGCAGAGAGAGAAGCAAATCGAGGTAAAATGCAAAAGGACAGAGTTGGAAATCAGCTAAGTGTATACGGCCAGGTGACTGAGTCAGGTAAGACAACGGTGTTGCCTGGGGAAAGTAGAGAGTCGCACGCAGACTGCAGAAAGAATGAGATGTAGGTGGTTCTAAGGGAGAGGTCTTGAACTATAAGAAAGAAGAGAGTTGAAGAGAAAACAGGAGGACCAGCAAATAAAAGTGAGCTGAGACATGAGACAGCTAAGAAGATAGAATAAAGAGGCAGCAGAGGAGACCAGAGGCCTCTGACACCACCTCAGATCAAGGAAACAGACGGGAAGGAACCCGCCAAGGACCACGAATGTCAGGTCCAGCCAATGAAAGGCCCAGGCTGTCCTTTGCACTGTCCCTGTCCTCCTCAAGGCCACCTAGAGAAAGCGGACAAGAGCGGACAAGGCTCGCCGGCCTTCCTCTTCTTCCAGCTTTTGGTTTCTCAAATACCTACCCAGCCTCTCCATCTAACGTTCCCCCATCCCCGCCGCCGCAGCCGCCCCCCCCCATTCCTTTAGCAAAATTTCAGGGCTTTGGGGAGGTCAGCAGGAGTCTGGCCACCTCTCCAGGGACGCCCCCAAGAGCCAGACTCCAGCTCGCAGGCAGTAGGCTGGCATTTGGAGCGGTGTCTCCCTGCTGGAACCCCACCCCTTCCCACCTCCTCGCCCCACTCGGCTCTCGCCCGAGCCGTCAGTCTCTCCATTTCCCCCTCCTGGTCTCGTCCTTCCTCCCGCCCCTCTCGCTCTCCCGCCCTTCGCTTTCATCCTCCTATCCCCACCTCTCCAACCTCCTCTTTCATCCCCCTCCCCTCGCCTCTCCTCCCCGCTCCTGCCTGCCCCACCCCTGGGAAGCCCCTCCCGTCGGGCAGCGCCGCCTTAAAAGCGGGTTCCCTTCCCGGGGGCGGCAGCGGCTGGTCGGCGGCAGCTCTGCTGGTGCGGGGGCGGCGAGCAAGACCGAGCGACTGCGACCGGAGCGCGCCGGCCACCGCCCGCATCACCCTCCCGCCAGCCCGCCCGCCCTCCGGACGGCCGCAGCCCTGCGGGTCTCGGCTCGGGACCCACCCCCGCCCCACCCCGCGCGCCTCTGCCGCCTCTTGCAGAGAGTCAGCTTGCCGAGCGGCCGTCGCTGCCGCTGCCGCCGCCGCCACCGCGCCAAGTTCCGGCCGCGGCCACCCTCCGCCGTCCAGGGCCCCTCCGCCTCGGCCCCGGGACCCCGGCTCCCCGCCAGCCCCGGCCCCGGCACCATGTCGGAGAAGAGCGTGGAGGCAGCGGCCGAGCTGAGCGCCAAGGTACGGGCAGGGGCGGCGGAGGCCCGGCACCCGGGCGGCCCCGGGATCGGCGCGGCCGTTCGCGCCCGGTCGCCCCCGACGGCCCCGAGCGGCCCTGGCGCCGGGTCCCCGCGGACCCCGCTGCGCCCTCCCCCCGCTCGGAGCCCGGCGCTGCCTGCCCCGCTCGGCGCCGCCAGCGCCCTCTAGCGGCCCAGCGCGCGGTGCCTCGGGCCTCGTCGCCGGTGCCCGCCATCCCCACCCCTCTCGTGCCCCGCCGCGCCCGCCGCGGCCCGGTCCGCCCTCCCGTCGGAGAGCGGCGCGTCTCGCCTTCCGGCCCCGGTGTCCGTGCCGCGGCTCCAGGCCTCTTTCCACTGTGACCTCACCTTTCCTCTGCTAAGCGGTTTGGGATCCTCAAGTGTAAACAGGACTCGGGGGAGGTTACTCCTCGCTCGGCCCCTCCCCTCGCGGCCCGACCGTCTGTGCGCGTTCCCGGAGGGCTGCGCCTCTCCTGCACCCTCTTTCTGCCCATCCTCATCCGTTCTTCCTCCACCACCGACTTTCAGTTTTCATTCTGTCGCCTGCCCTCATGTCGAATTCCTAAAAACCAGAAAGGTGGAGAGACTAGCCTTCGAAAAAGCCGAAGCTCAGCACCGTTTGACCATACGTCAAGCTGTCTTTGCTCGCAGCAGCTGCCTTTCCCGGCCTCATCCCTTTGCCCTTGTCTCTCTTCCAGCCTTCCTCTAATTTCCCCAGGGAAACTGCGGAGTGCCGCTTAGGGAAATTAATGCGGCCAGGCTTGGGGGCTGGGAGCCTAGTCTTTTTTTTGGGGTGGGCAGTGTAGTTCTGGAGGCTCAAGTGGAAAGGGGTAATTTAATAGCGTGAAAGGCAGAGGGAGAGGGGACATGTGAGATCTGACAAGGTGTGCCTGGGTGGCCCTCCGGTGGGTTGTGCGGTGGCATGTGATTTCACTGAGTAGGCGTCTTTGTATGTCTGAGATCCAGCGAGTGTGTGGGACTGCCCGTGTCAGTTACATGTGTGCATGTGGAGACTGAGATGTTCCGGAGGCATGTTGCCGCTTTGTGAGTGCTGAGTGGCTACAGTGTGCTGTGAGAGTGTGCCAGAATGCCCAAACATTGGGCCATGTGTCTCCAGAGCGCGTGGGCGCTCCCCTGTAGATGTGTGAGTTGGTGTTAGCTTGCGTGAGCTTGTGTACCCGTGTAGAGGCCAGAGAGCTGCTTAGCACTGGGCAGGTCACATAGCCTCCTGGAAAAAGAGATCATGGAAGGACACTGACCAGAAGGACAGGGCCCAGGAGAGGGGCCAGCCCTGTGGACTTTGGTCCCTGGTATTCTCCCTCACCCTTCCATCAACCCCGATGGGAAACTCAGGCCAGGGCCTGACTCCAGCTGAACTGACTTAGTCCCTGCCTGGCCTAGGATGTCAGGAAAGGCTCGTCAGATAGAAAAAGCCCAGACCCACCATGTGACAGAAATGACAACAAAGCAGAACGAAGAAGAACCCTGCCTGGAGTGAGAGGGTCAAGTGTTCTGGGCTCTGCTCTCCCAGTGTCCCCAGGCTAGTCATTTGGCACCAAGTCCCTCTTCTATCCCGGTTTTGTTCTAGAAAGGACACATCCTTCTGGGGTGATCAACTTGGGAAAACTCCGACCCACTTGGGGCCCTGCACATAGACTTGCACACTAACATTAGATAGGACCGTAGGAGAAGGTGCACCTGCCGAGGACTAGGGAGGCTGGAATGCCCAGAGGGCCTCACCCACAGGAGCATCTCCCTCTGATAGAATAGGACTTCCAGCACCTACAGGGATCTTGGAATGAAGGGAAGGACAGCCTGGTGGGAGGGGCCTCTGCACAGGTAACATCCCATCCAGGCCCAGACATTATTTCCTGTGCTTTCTCCTTCCTCTGAATGTTTCTTTTTCCAGACTTTACCTTTCTTTCCACTGAAAATGGCCGCTTCTACTCTTCCACTATCCCAGTGCTTATCCCGTGGAGGGGGAGAGGAGGGGACACGGAAACTGTTTCGCTGGGGATAGGAATGGATGTGGGAATATGCTAGGGTGATCTTCATATCCCTGTGCTGTTCGGCCAAGTAGGAACAGGAGGATTAGGGAGACACAGATGGGAAACAAAGGCCGTAGGAGCTGAAGGGGAAGCAGGAGGGTGCCCAGGGGAGAGTACTTAGGCAAAGGCCCCTGAGGTAGACAAAAGGCAGAGCAGGGCAAGCAGAGAGGGTGAAGGGGGTGGGGCATCGAGGCCAGCAGATGGGGGATTTGCTTTGTGGAGCTGAAGTCTTCGGAGAGGTTTGGATGGTTCCTCTTATCATCACTTGCCCACTCGCCTTGGGTCTTGGGGTAGGAAGTCCCTGCTATCAGTTATGACCCAAGTCTAAGGGCCTAAGGACATCTGCTGTACCTTAAGCTGTGGCCACCATCACTCACACCTTTGATGTAGCTGCAGAGTTGGAGGAACAGGCTGGGGGGCTCACGGCTGTGCCTTATTGGTGCTGAGAGGAAGGTGACCTTCTGTCTTGCAGGACCTGAAGGAAAAGAAGGAGAAAGTGGAGGAGAAGGCAGGCCGGAAAGAACGGAAGAAAGAAGTGGTGGAGGTACGGAGGCCTGGGCAGCAGGTGGCCCCACTGTGCCTCAGCACCCTGTCCCCTCTTTCTTCCCTTCCTGGGGTGTGGGGTCCTGCCTGCCTCTTGGTTCCCTCTCATTCCTTCCCTGAGTCCTTCTGTCACCCAGCGAGTGGCAGCACAGCCACCCTGACAAAGCTCCCTGTCTTGGTCCCCACAGGAGGAGGAGAACGGAGCTGAGGAGGAGGAAGAAGAAACTGCTGAGGATGGAGAGGATGATGACGAAGGGGATGAGGAAGGTAGGGAGGGGCAGGGAAGGCTGGGCTGCAAAGGTTGGGGCTCGAGCGAAGGAGCAGTTGCAGACCAGAAGCCAGGCAGAGGGTAACCATGGGGTCGCTGCGGGCCTGTGCATCCTTCCCCAACGACTTGTTTCTGGCTCCTCAGATGAGGAAGAGGAGGAGGAGGAGGATGAAGGCCCTGTGCGGAAGAGAACTGCTGAAGAGGAGGTTTGACTGGGGTGGGATCTGAGGGGCTGTCAAGAATATAGTAGGGGCTGGGTGTCCTTTGGATTTGGAGCCAGGCCCTTGTAGCACAGGCACGGGCAGGAGCAGGGCTGGTCTCCTTCATAAGCTACCTCAGCTCTTATCCTTTCCACAGGATGAAGCAGATCCCAAGAGGCAGAAGACAGAAAATGGGGCGTCGGCATGAGCCCCAGCCAGTGGGCTTGGGGATGGGAGGCCCCTCAGGTCCTGGAGGTGGGGCAGGAACACACAAAAATCCAGCCCCCCTTCTCCTGGCTCTCTGCTCTGGCCCTGCCCCAGGGCTGTGACCCTTGCCCTTCGACCCAGTCTCTCATTTCCATCTCTCCAGACACTGCTCCTCCGCCCTCACCGCCATCGTCCCGATCCACCTCGCCTGAGCTCCCAGCGGCCCTCACTTTGCCTCCTTGCATTCCTGTTCTTAACTGCCTCCCTCACCATCCCGTGTGTCCTGGTCCTTGCAAAGCCTCTCCTTACCCTCAGCACCTTACCTCTCAGCCTGCCCTTCCCTCTCCTGCCTGATCCCTGGGTCTCCCTCAGATCCCCTCCTCTCAGACAGCGCCAGGCCGGGGTGGGGCCGGGGGTGGGGCCAAGCCCCGAAGCTGCCCCCCTCCCCTTTTTGTATAATTTAATAAAGAAATGGTCGCGCTTCTGTTTTTAACCTGTCTCCTGATTTCCCAGAGTCCAGTTAGTCCCCGAAAGGGTAGGTAGAGAAAGGGTGGCTGATCTCATGACCAGATCGTAGGAGACCTCCAGGGGTGGACTGGGAACCCATATCCACTTGCCTCTGGGAGGTGACTTAGGTCCTGTTTTGGGCACCTGAGGATGTTCCTCAGCGATGCACACTAGCATGTTAACCCACATAACATCTAGACATTGCTGAGCCCAGTGGAAAGCTACCAGCTCGGTTGTGCTGAACCAGGCAGATAGAAACTGGAAGTCCCGCCCCGAAGGGGAAGAGACTGGTAGGCTTGAGTCTCTGCTAAGGGTTTGGAAAGAACTACCAAGCATGGACATGTTTTGACATGTGGGGAGCAGGGTCCTCTTAAGTCAAGCAGGGGAAGACTCCAGAGTTACTTATCAAGCCTATCTTCTTGTCACATGTCCTCTGGCTTCCTGAGCAGGACAGCAAGAGTCAGATCCCTCTAATTGTTCTGTGTCCTCACTGAGCAGCCCTGGCTGGCTCCAAATTCACAGAGAACGGCCTGCCTCTGTCCTCCAGGTGCTGGGATAGGGGTCTTTTGTTGGTGGTGTTGTTTGTCCTTGACACAAGGAATACCAGGTAGCCCATAATGTCCCTAAATTTACTAGGTAGCCCAGGCGAGCCTGAAGCACATTTCATCCCACCTCCGCGTTCTAGAATCTAGATTACAGTTAAATGCTGCCATTCCTGACTCCTCAGGTTTTCTTGAGTTTGCTCTGTTACAAGATTTCTGCATTATTTCATCTCTATAAACCCTTGCCTTCATTTTTCGGCACAGAGTCTTTGGGGGTGTGTGTGGGGAACTTTGAAGACAGTAAAGTATCCTACCATCAGGAGAGATGACTATCTGATGAACTCATCAGTTACTGAGTACTTGGCGCTCTTTCTGAAGACCCGAGTTTGGTTTCCAGCATCCAGATGGGGCAGCTCACAAGGCACCTGTTAACTGTGGTTCCAAGGAACTTGACACCCTCTTCAGGCCTCTGAGCATTCATACACAGGCAGTGTTCATGTACACAGACATAAGTAGAAATAAAACTTTAAAACAAGTATCCCATTGTCATCCTCTTCTAGAAGATGAAAAGCCAGTCCATAATGCAAGTAAGGATTGAGACCTCATGGCCCCTAACCTTGGCAAGTTGTTTAGTGCCTGCGGGCTCAGTGTCCTCATCTCTATTTTCACAAGTTGCTTTGTGGAAAAATGTATCATACTAGAAGTGGCACAGAGTGAAGATTGACACCATGTAGCCGCTGTACTCTGCCACCAAGCCCTTCTTCAGACCTACTAACTTGTGGTATGGTGACACTTCCTGTGTACCTGTCCAGGAGGTGCTGGATGGCAGCACAGTTCCTGGGGAGTTAATGGGAAAGATCCTGGCAGGAAGAAAGTGGGACTGTGGGGACATAGGGAGCTTAGAGGCACAGCTGTCTTTCTCAGCAGACATGCTTAGCAGAGAACCCAGGAGGAGGGGGGAGGCCCGAGGGGGAAGAGGTGAAGAGGGGGCGGTGGGGAGACCCGAGTCTGAGGAAGTAAACAAGGGAGCGCCACAACAGAGCCGGAGGGCCCTGCTGGGAATCAGCCCCTCACTCTTTCCACTGCGAATCGAAACCCAGAACCCTGGGCTGGGGGGCGGGCAGTGGGGAGGGGAAGTGGGGAAGGTGGAAGGGAGGCAGCAGACGAGCATCCCAGCTCACTGCGGGGCCTGCCTCCACTCTGCTCTCTGCCCCTGCCCTGCCCTGCCCCAGGGGTGTCTCCCCAACACCCCCAGCTAGCCTGCTTTCTTTGGTCTCCAGCTTCCGGTCCCCCTGCTCTCTCCCCAGACAGCCCCTCGTGGTGGTGGTCCTCTTTACCCTACATTCCTTTCTCTCCTCCCTCCTTGTAGAACTCTTTTTCTCCCAGGACCCCTTTCTGACCTCCCTTGGAGGGCCGGGGAGGCCCAGGCCATAGAGGAGATGAGGGAGGCTCTGCTCCTAGGCCTATTGCTTCTGAGACTGCTGTGGGAAGACCCAGGTAAGGTGGGGAGTTGAGGAGAAGCCAGCAGGGACCTCTATGGCCTCTCTCTAGCTCTGTGGTGGTCTTCTAATGCCTTTTTAAGGGGCAGTCCTTCCCATCCCAAAGCCGCCTCAGTCTCCCCTTGTCTGGGAGGAATGATGTTTTTCTCTTGGGACCGCCAAGGCCTTCCTCTGTTCTCCAATCTTTGGCTCACAGCCCTTGGCCTCTCTTTTGCTCCACTAGTCGTGGCTTTAGAGCCTGGAAAAGAGGACTCCGTGGTGTGGGCCCAAGAGGGGGCTCCTGTCCATCTTCCTTGTAGCCCCCAACTCCCCCACCAGAATCCCAGCCTTCTGCGAAGAGGAGGGGTCACTTGGAAACATCAACCAGATGGGTATGCACTCCGAAGTTGGGAAGAACCTCCCAGTCCAGTTTTAATGGCATTCTGATAAAAGGCCACCCAAGCCAGTTTTGTCCTCTCTGTGAGTTCCTCTGAAGCCAGTAGCTCAGTTTCCTCACACAGCCTTCCTGTGACTTCTCTGCAACCTGAGGTCCATAGTCGGCCACCTCTCCAGGAGCAGATGAAGTGGAGACAGGGGTGGTTGCGGGTGTGGAGGGGGGAGGCTGCTAATGGTCAAGCGCTCTCTTAGGCGGGTTGCCTTATCCTTAAAAGTATGTTTGGAGTGCTTCTTCTTTATGGCCTTTTCGAATTGCCCCAGAATTTCTCAATCCTATTCTCCCCGCCCCCCACCAGTGACCAACCCGCTGCCACCCCTGCCCTTGACCTTCTCAAGGGGATGCCCTCGCCTGGGAGGCCGGCACCCCGTCGTTACACGGTGCTGAGCGTGGCTCCTGGAGGCCTGCGCAGCGGGAGGTTGCCGCTGCATCCCCGCGTGCAGCTGGAGGAGCGCGGCATCCAGCGCGGGGACTTCTCCCTGTGGTTGCGTCCCGCCCATCGCGCCGACGCTGGCGAGTACCACGCCGCGGTGCGCTTCCCGGACCGCACCCTCTCCTGCCATCTCCGCCTGCGCGTCGGCCAGGCCTCGAGTAGGTGGGGCGGGACAAAGGGAGAGGGGCTGGGAAGCAGGTCCCCGTCGCCCCGAGGCAGGAAGAGGCAGGAAGAGCCGTGGCAAGGGTGGAGCCTTAGACCCGGCCTGTGGGCCCCCAGAAGTGTTCAAGAAGGGAAGGATGCTTGATGGCAGGGTGGAAAGTGCTCCCCCCCCGAAATGCCTGTCTCTAGGCGGGGTGAGGGGGGCTACGGAGAAATTGTATCACACACCCCAGCTCCCTTACCCCCACCTACAGCCGGAGTGCCCTCCCAGGTGGAGGCTGAGGTGGGAGAGCACCTTTGCTTCGGGGGTCTAGAGTGACTCACTTATCACATCCGTAGCTCATCCTCAGGCAGGGTCTCCCCAAAGGACAGACCGAGTAAAGCGGAGGCAGAAGGCAGAAGGGTCCCAGGTCTCTTGGAGATCCACGTTAAGCACCCCCAGGTTTCAAGTACTGAGCTGGAATGGGAGGCTGTCCGGGGAATCTGAACACCGCGCGTCCCCTTTTCCATGAGTTTTCAGATCGGTTTGGCAGGCTGCACTGACAAGTGTTTCCATCTAGTCGACTGATAGGTCCTTTTTTACTTCCCCACAGTGACCGCCAGTCCCCCAGGGCCCCTCAGGCCGTCTGATTGGGTCATTTTGAACTGCTCCTTCTCTCGTCCTGACCGCCCAGTCTCTGTGCACTGGTTCCAGGGCCAGAACCGAGTTCCTGTCCAGAAGTTCTCCCATCACCACTTAGCTGGGAGTTTCCTCTTTCTCCCCCAAGTCAGTCCCCTGGACTCTGGAATCTGGGGCTGTGTCCTCACCTACAGAGACGGCTTCAACGTCTCCATCACATACAACCTCGAGGTTCTGGGTAACTCCCCCAGCTGCCTTTACTCTTGACCACAACCCCTTCCTGCCCTCACCCCACCTCGCCTGACTCATGTGCCCCCCAAACAGGTTCTCGGCTTCCGTGTCACTTCAGATTGGGGTGTCTCAGTGTCCAAACCCTTTCCTCTGTGGGAGTCTTTCAGCTGCCATCTGTCACTGTAGCTTGTCCTTCCCGATAGCCTTTGGTCTCCTGCTGGCTCAGCACAGCACGGGTTTTCCAGCTTCCCCTGTCTGTGTGCTTTGTTCTGTTTCTTAGTGTGTTATAGTCACAGTACCTCCTTCCTTCCTTCCTTCCTTCCTTCCTTCCTTCCTTCCTTCCTTCCTTCCCCCTCATCCTGCCGTCCACCGCACTGCACGCCCACCTCTGAGCATTGATCTTGGCCTTTCCCTTCCCCTCCAGGTCTCCAGCCCCTAACTCCCTGGACAGTGTATGCTGCTGCAGGTTCTAGGGTGGAGCTGCCTTGTCACTTGACCCCTGGTGTGGGGACCTCGTCTCCACTCATTGCCAAGTGGACGCCTCCCCGGGGAGGCCCCGAGCACAGGGTGACCGGGAAGAATGGCAGTTTTACCCTCCGACTTGAGGCTGTGAGTCTGGCGCAGGCTGGGGCCTACACCTGTAGCATCCATCTGCAGGGGAAGCAGCTCAGCGCCATCGTCACTTTGGCAGTCATCACAGGTGGGAAAGGAACAGCCTCATTTCAGGAGAGAGACAGGGTGGGGTGCTGGTTGGTCAGAGAACTGTATGTATGTACTCCATGATGCTAGGCCAGTTGACTCAAGCTGAAACTTCTTTTTAATTTTTATGAGAGAGAGAGAGCACATATGATGGGTGCATGTTCCTCAGCACATGTGGAGATCACAGGGCCACTCCTTTCCACCCACCTTTCTTTGCATTATAGGGATTGAAGTAGGGATTCCAGGTTTGCAGAGCAAATGCCTTTCTTATAGGGCCCAGGATGCTGTATCTTAAGATGGCCTTCAACTCCTGATCTCTCTTCCACTTCCTAAATGCTGGGATGACAGACAAGTACTACTGTGCCTAT